AGGTCTTGCTACAGACAGCGTGCCAGCTTTGCTGGAAGCGCTGGCCGCCGGGCAGATAGGGTTAGAAGTCGACACGGCAACACCTGCGGTCTGGGCTGCAGCCGTTGAGGCCAGCCGGTGGCAATACGCTCATGCTTATCGACTGGCGTGGGCTAGCGTGATTCCATTTGTTGTGCTAGCTATCGTGGCTGTGGCTTTGTTGAAAGGCGTAAAGGATTTGATGACGGAAGAGGTCGAGGCTACCGTAGAGCATGTTGGAACATGAAGGTTGGCTCGTATACCCCCAATAACGGGCGGGAAGTTTTAACACGAAAGATTAAAGTGTGGAGATGGTAACTGTCTCAAGTCATAATCAGAACAAAGACTCGGCTTTAGATTCTTTGCTTAGTTAGCTAGTATTGCGTCGTGGGATTCTTCTAAAATATAGCTTCAAGTGCTGCATGCTGGAAGGTTTGGTATGGGTTCTCTCATATGGCTTCTGGTGACTTAGTATCTTGATGAACACTTGGCAAATCTGCGAGTAGAAAGGCTGAGACGAGGTGACTCCGACTCTTGATGGTTGTACGTTAGGCAGATGCTAGGGGCCGTGTGGCAAGTAATTTATGAGCTTCTTGGAACCCCCTGTTCCGTACTCTTGTTCCCAGGGCCCTGCAGATAGCGTGTTGGTATATTCGTTCCGCGCTTATGTTCAAGACGGCTTTTGCGGACGACCATCAAGCCATTTACTCATGTAGGGCCCGTCCAACCAATACCCAAGCTTTCTATAATAGCTTCTCACCCCGACACCACTGATAACGCTGATCTTATCGCTTCCGTGTTCATCACGCGCGATGCGTTCCGCCTCTTCCATCAGGAGGGTACCGAAGCCTTGATGTTGGAACTTTTTGGGATCTCTAGCGTGTACTGGAACGGCAGTTCCGTAGACATGAAGCTCCCTGACCAGACTGGTTTGCTGGCCAGTTAATTCATCACGGTAGGTGTACTTTTCGGTGCATTTGCGCAAACGAAGCAATGCGACCAAGATATCCTGCTTGGGGTCTTCATAGGCTAGGAAGGTCTCCCACCCACCATTGGCTGTATAATCCCGACGAATGAGTTCGATCTGATTCGGCCGAATCTTGTGTTTGACTTCGTTAATGCCGACCTCGCGGGTTCTTACATCACGACACGTTGTACCGAAATCCTTCATCCGAGCAAGCGCCAATTCCCGGAGATTTCCATTTTCAACACCCGAAGTGACCAGCGGCATTGGAATGTCCCTCTGAACCCGATAAATTCTAGTCCACGGCGGCACCAGTGCTAGGATCCTAGCAACAATGTCGATTAAATCGTTAGGGGTATAATTCTGGTAACGGCCTGTGCGCCATAACTCGTAAAGCCCCGTGCCACGAATAACGAGCGTTGGATAGATCTTTAAGCCATCGGTCCGGAACGCTGGATTCTCGAAATACTCTCGAAATTGATCTAGATCGCGCTCCATGCCCACATTCGGTAAGTCGGGCATCATATGCGAGACAACTTTAAACCCGGCGTCTTTAGCAAGACAGAACGTTTCCGCGACCGCTGCCACGGTGTGCCCTCTGTTGGTATCTCGCGCGACATCCTCATACAACGATTGAACCCCGACCTCTAGGCGCGTACATCCGTAGCGGAGCATATCCGTTAGGTGTGGCTGCAAACAGTAGTCCGGTCGAGTCTCGATGGTAATGCCGACGCATTTGACATTGCTCATCTCACCAGCCTCAACCGCCTCGTCTACGTTTGTCGTTTGATAACCGCTCAGAGCATTATGCAACTGCGAAATGAACTCTTCTCGGTACGGCACGGGCAATGACATGAATGTACCACCCATGATAATATATTCGACCTTGTCAACCGAGTGCCCGAGAGACTTGAGCTGGTCAACACGGCCACGAGCTTGTTCGAAAGGGTCGTATCGGGCGCGAATAGCGCGCATGGACGTAGGTTCGTATCCCGTATAGGACTGGGTACTATATTCGAAGTCGGAGTCGGGTCCACCTGGGCAGTAGACGCAAATATTGCCCGTGTAGGCGATGTGAGGGCATCTGTGCGGCTTACACATAACAGCGACAACGGCGATTCCGGAGGAAGTGCCTAGACATCAGTTAGTATCAGTTAGTAGGAATGGAAATAGCATTTCTTAAATGTCTTATATAATAGCGGCATACGAATAGGCTTTGCGATCAGTTTTGGCAGGATATATTTCTTGTAGTGTTCGGGGACGGCGGCGATGATGGCAGTGAGCGGGGGCATGCTGGCGATTTTGTGTTTTCTAGAGAATTTGGAGCGCAAGCTGTTGAGGTTGATATCTCGCTTAGGATTCTTGGGATCTTTGGTGGCTTCGTGGTCTTCGATAAGGGCGTTGGCAATATCGGCGCAGCAGCGCAAGAATCGCTCGTTCTCTGGTGGGAGGTTGGTATCCTTTTTCCGGACAGTTGCTGTTATCGTGGTCGTCGCCATGTTGGAACTCGCATATGACGATTCCGTACCTAGGTATATAAGCTGCTGTCAGTATATTGAGAAGGTAGGTAGAATAAAATAGGGTAAAAATATTTATCTTGTATATTTATTAAGTAGAAAGAAAGATGCAATGCAAATACGTAAGAGACTAGGTTACCTACCTAGTAATAGCGAAAAGTATAGATGGTGGGGTTAGAAATCTGAAATTATAATTTGTCCAATGAGATTGAATGCAATAACTCTGGGACCGGAATATACGAAGTACATAGGTACCTAAGGGATGCATGTGTAACCCCGCCATGCGCCTGGTCTGGCAGTACATACGGGCAGAAATACCTAATATATGCATAATTTAGATATCAAGTACATGACTAGGTTATACATGTATGACCTCAAAGGTTACCTAGGCGAAAAGCAGTTGCGGCCGGGGGGTCGCGGGGTTCTGCATACATGTACCTTGCAACTCCTCTTCGTAACTCGCCGTAACTCGTCGTAACTTATCAGTTTTGTCTCCAACTTATTCCTTCCCATTTTCAACTCTTCCATGAATATTGACAGTCCCATGCGTTCTGAGCTGTCACAGTCAGGACAGTCAGGTTCTGCAACCTTTTTATTTCGCTTGCAGCCTGCACTGTCTTATATCCAATAACTAAGTCCTTATATTTGGTATTTGGTTTTCAATAACTACCTAGGTTAGGTAGTAAATAGAGCAAAGCGTTCTCTTGGCTTGCTTCTAGCCTATTCCTCATCATTCTTCTTTCCATAACCCTTTCGTCCGTATCTCCATCAGCCTCTTGGCTGCTTTGGCGACAAGTTTACCATATCATATTCTTAGCCGATAGTTGCTGGAGCGCGATTCCTTTTATTTTCCTTTTATTTTCTATTTAATACCCTCAATTCAGCGACACCAGAGACTAGACAAACATGGCAACGAGCAGGATGCGCAGGGTAGCTAAAGAGCTCTCCGACATAAAGGCCGATGCTGATTTATCCGGTATCACTGCTATGCCTGCCGACGGTGACGATGACTTTACGCACCTCAAGGCTCGGATACCTGGTCCTCCAGGCACTCCTTACGAGGGTGGGAGGTTCATCGTGGACGTCAAAATCCCCAACGAATATCCCTTTCGCCCTCCTATTATGAAGTTCGACACCAAAGTCTGGCATCCAAATATTAGCAGTCAAACCGTAGGTTTTCTTGGACATTTAGATGTGTTATGGTGCTCCCCGTGCCTACCAAAGGGGCTAGTTTTGCTAATAGATTGAACGCTCAGGGTGCCATCTGTTTAGACACTATAAGCTCCGCCTGGTCTCCCGTCCTCACTATAAAGTCCACCCTTCTCTCCTTGCAGGGCCTCTTCGAAAGCCCCGAACCCAAGGACCCGCAAGACGCCGAAGTAGCCAAGATGATGATAAACGACAGAGAAGCTTTCAACAATAAGGCGCATGACTGGGCTGTACGCCACGCTCGTGCCCCTCCAAATCCCAAATACCAATACGTCCAGCCGCGAACCACCATCGCGCCGCAGCAGGTCGATGACAGCAGGTACGATCCTAATAAATATATGATAGCCATTGTGACAACTAGTTAGCTAATCGGCCATGTAGATACCAGGGCTACAACAAAGATCTCATTGATAGATTCGTCAGCATGGGTTTTGATATCGAGCGGGTTGTGGAGGCTTTCCAATTTGTTGGTATCGACAGACTTGACGGTCAAGATTATGAGCTGGAGGAAGCGTACATGGGTGATATCACAGCTCGATTGTTAGGAGAACCTTAAGTGCAACAAGACGGTTCGACGATACGCATGGCCAAATCTCGCTTTACTGTTATCATATACTGGCTCATCTTTCTATTCGAGACCTCTTATGTTAACCCGCATGGGATCCTCGAATATTAGCAACAGAATAGGGTTAAATTAGGTGTACTCAGTAGTCAGAAATGTCTTCACAGACTTGCATATGGAATTAGGCGTCGGGGGGGGGGGGGGGGGGAAGGGGTTCTCGGTTAGGGTGCGCTACGCTTGCATGAAACAAATTACATGAATTGAATTACTCCTTTAGCTATGCCTCAAGGTTGTTTTTGCATGTTTTAGTTATATTCGCCTTGTCTCTGGTATGTTATGTCTAATAATTTTTACCTTATAATCTAAATCGCTATGTACCTAAGAGATGTAGCTCTTGGTGCTCGTCATTCCTTAGGTTAGGTACATACTTAAGTTATGTAATTTCTTCTATTATTTCCGGTAAGGACAAAGACAACAACTACTAGGAGCTTGACACTTTGGCGGAAGTCATAGAATATGAAGCATAGAATATGAAGGTGACTTGGATGCCGAGGAACGGCCCGCAAGGCGCAACCAAGATGGCGGGCTGTGCGGTCAAGGTCCCATCTTAAGTAATTCTAGAAGTGTTAGTGGGTACGATCCGCCTACGATCCGAGCTTCCGAGCTAAAGTTTCCTGCTACTTTTAGCTAACCAGTGCTACCTAACCTTAGAAATACTATGTAATCATAGGTACCTACCTACCTAGGTTAGGTATACAACGTCATTCTTTACCTTTAGGTAGACTCTTACTTCACTATTAACCACCATTAGTTACTTCTACATTGTCACATTTGCGTACTTCAACGCGCCATCACGTATGTTGAATTGTAAGGTCCAAGGTAAGCGCGACTTGGGTATAATAATACTTAGCACTCGAAAATTTAAACATTTCCCTTAACCTAGGTACATCTACATATCTCCCTGGCAGGTGCTTCCCATCATCTTATGGCTTAGTCTTAATATCTCCTGGCCCTTGGTTCCCTTGGTCTCTTCTCTACCTCCGTCTTATTTTCTCCTCCTTATCTTGTCTTGTATGCTATGTTCCCAAAGACGCAGTCGCAATAAGTTATCTCTATTAGACAAGTTATCCCAACTATCAAATATCAAACCCATCGTTAACTTTCCAACCCCCTAAGCTCACCATTGCAAAGTCTCTTACTTTCCATCTTCCATCTTCCATCTCCCATCTTCTATCTTCCAATCCAATCCAAATCCTCCAAGCTATCCAATTCGTGTAATCTTCTAGCCATCGCCCTTCGTAACCAAGAACTATTTATTATCCACTCTGTATTGCCCACAGCTCCTCCGCAATGGCAGTCGACGACGTCTCCTCGAGCGCTAAGGCCAGGGCCAGCGATTTGCTCGCCTACGGCCAACGTCATGTCGACCGAGTCGTGAGCCCGCCTACACGACAGAAGGCCTACGACTGGATTTACAACTTATCAACCGAGAAGCCTATTCTATTTGTAAGCTTCATCCAAGCACCTATTAACTTATAAATAATTCCATTGACCTTCTCATACCACCCCTTAGTCTTTTGTCGCCTTTCAATTTGCCCTCTGCCTCGCTCCTCTGCTCCTCTTTGCAGGCTTTGCCGCGACAACTATCGCTGTCTCTTTGATCTCCGCCGTCCTGTTCTCGCTCTTTTGGATCGGTGTTGCCACACTTTTTCTTGTGCCGACTCTCTGCCTCACCTTCACCATCGCTCTATTACTATGGGCATGGGCGGCCGCCACCTTCTTCGCTGGCCGTTGGGCCTACAATAGGCTACCGTTCAGCGTTGATGGACACGGCAGAATAGTGGCACGCGACAGCTGCGAGAAAAGGATCATCTTCGATCGGAAGAACGATACTGGCGCCGACTTGGACATCAAGGCCGAGGTGGTCGAGGTCAAGGAATAGATTGCCGGCGAGGTTATATGGATGGCAATGGAGGTTGGCTGGTTTATGATACACCAGGGCACCGTGGCACTGCTGAAACTCAGATTTTGGGTCTAGAATTGCATGGGCCGACTACACCTTGTGTCAACGACGATTGATAGATCATTGTTATGTGTGTTTGCGTTGGCGTTTGGTTTTGGTACAGATACCCGTGGTAATATGCAAAGGAGGCGGCTGACGACCAGTCAAGGATTGTTGAGATGGACCTGTTTCTAGCACACGTAACCATCGGTATTGAAATACGATATTATTGGTATACATTACGGCCTAACTTGATCTTGTCAGCGAACGCGGCTCCCTTGTCCCGGATATATCGTTCGTGGCCCACAGCAATGTACCAGATATCACTTTATTATCCAAGCATCTTGCTACTTATCTTAAAGGTTGAAGGCATTATACATATTTTACGACGACGGAATCCTAGCAACTTAACCAAGACCAGCGAAGACGTAATCTATCAAGTCTAAAGTTGATCTACACCCTTGACATAACCATTGGATATTTATTTCCCTTCCGAAAAAGACACAACAGCCCACTTACCACTCCACGCCCATTTCCTGGCACCGCTATCTCCACCGCCGCCCTCCGTAGTCCGGAGTTCTTCGTCCTGCCCGGGCTTGAGCCCGACGACGACATCAGCTTTGCACGTTCGGAGAGCAAGTACATTAACCCCCGAGCCGGGACCGAGAGGTCCAATAGCTTTAGTGAAAGGGGTTGACGGATCCCACGTGGCCTATGTTAAATCAGTACGCCTAAGTGGTTAATTAGCAAAGGAGCAGGTATACTTACATCGCCAGTTAGCTTGCGGTAGTTCAAGTCGCCCTTGAATATAACCAACTCGCTGCTCTTCAAATCTTCGTGTAGACTCTTCTCGACCGACGGTAGTCTCCAATAACTACCCGGGTAAGTCCAGAAGCGGTTTGGCCTAAGAATAAGCTGCCCCTCGGCGTACATTTGAGACCATTCCTGGAAGAGGAAACCAAGGTCCGTAATATCTTTGTTGGAGAGGGCAGGAGGTGTTCTATCCTGCAGCTTATCGTCGTCGGATGGGGTTTCGTAGAATTGCTTGGGGTTTACCAGCGCATTAAGGAGAGCAGCAAAGTCTGCTGGTAAAACGTCCGATACAAACCAGGGAATTGACTTTGGATGAAGGACAACGAGCGTAGCTAGTCCCGACGACAACAGGAAGCCAGCGAGGATAAGATCGACGTATAGTTCAAACCCGGCGTTATCTAGCACAATGTCTACGCGGCGCTCCTTTTTTCCTTCGGACTTGGCCTTTTTCAACATATCATACGTCGCACCTAAGTCGTTGATGAGGATGTTCTTCTCAGAAGCCTTTCTAGCCTCAGATCCTTGTAGCTTCTGGATATCCTCGTAAGTGAGACTTGTCAGGAGAGATAAATCCGTGGCGTTACCCCATAAGCAGATCTCGCACATCTCAAAGAACAGAATCTTTTCGGCCTCGTCGTGCTCAGCGCTAGTCGAGTTCCCGTCATGTCTTATCTGCGTTACCAAGTCCTTGTACCGAGCGGCAAGCTCGAGAACAGCGGGCCGAGACGATCGGAAGGTCTTAATCTTCTGTCGGTAGAATACATCATAGGTCTTCCAGTGCTTAGAAAGGCTGAAGGACGTGTTAAGACGTCTATGTTTCCCGTCAGCGTCGTCTGCCACGAGTCTCTAGGGGCATAAGCATAATCATTATACGTTCTAGTACCTATAAAGATAGCATTCGGAGAATAGCCAAGGGATGTTGAACCAGCTAGGTGTCCCTAACTGCTCCAACTCACGGTTATATATGGCTACATCGGCAGCGCCATCATCTCTTATCGGTCTAAGTCGCGAGTTAACATGATTTCTTCTTGATTAATTGGTACGCTTGCGCGCGTTGGAACGTACGTGAGCTGTCGGTCGTGTTGGAGTTCGTATTTGAGGCGCGCAAGCTCTTCTATGATTTTCTTGCCCTCGTTCTGCTTTTCGGATTCTTCACACTCAGATACCGAACGATACAAATCGTCAATAGCTTGAGTCTGAACAGCGTGAAATTAGTCAAGTATCGCCGATAGCAAATATGTTCCTGTTTTTATAAACTGACTATTATAACAGGCCATCGATCTCGAGCGGATATGTAGGCGAAAGAGGACTTGTCGCTCGTTAAATATGGAGCTGATGGAGGATGGAGAAGGTTAGTTATAGAGTATTGTATAATAGAGTATTGTATAATATAGGAGGAGCGTACAAGAGAAAGGAATGGATGGATATGCTTACGAGTCTTGGTGTCAAACTCCATTTTGAAAATGGAATAAGTTGATAGGTATCTTGAGCGCGCCTCAGAAATATTGAGCATTATGTCACTTATAACACGCAGCATAGAGTTAAAGTCAATGGCGGGGCATCTTGGAGGGGCATCCTGGCGGGGGTACCTAGGTACATAGGTAGGTAGGTACCTACATGTATGTATTCATAGGCAAGTACCTTAGTAGGTATTTACATAAGTATTTGCTCGGCATAAGGCTGAGGTAATGTTCCCTTCTGATATGTTCCCTTCTAATATGTTCCCTTCTAATATAAAAGACGGATCGGTAAAAATAGTCAGCACTTCCAAATGAGGTGATTTACTAATATCTTTTTAATAGTAAAGATATAACTTAAAGGTTCGTTTAATTCATCCATAATAAAACACGTCTCCCACGGGCGTTAACCTACTTCTTCTCGCCGCGATACCGTCTTATAAGTGTGAGAACATACACAAATCTCAATGCAGAATGACCAAGTATAAATATTTAATAGGCGTAAATGCTTCCAAAACCCTCCGGTTCCATGGTTTTAAAAGCCTATTCGATCAGTCTAAGTATTACAATGAATAGGTAAACCCCTCGACTGCATCCCTCACTGTTCAAAGGCATAATACTCGCTCAAATTTCGGCAAGGACTCCCTCGTATAAATATCAAACGAAGCAAACTTGATATTTGATATTCAATGCCAATTATGACTAATGCCAAGATAGGTACTAACACAATCCAGGAAAATAGAGTGTAAACTGTAAGTAAAGGTGTAAATACTACTGTAAGACCGAGTCCCATCCGGCGTGGCTACGGCGTCGAAGCAACGTGGAGCGGCGGGTAGATAATACTACGTAGTATATACGAAGCAAGGCACAGACCAGATGTTAACTGTGATAGGTCACAGACAGTTAAGACGCCGCTTGCTCTCGCATGTAGCAAGGATTCTCCTACTAGCCTCACACAAAGACCACGGGAAGACCCCCACTCCATCATCTTATCAGATCATCTGATAAAATTTGCAGTTCTCCATTGTTGGGGACAAGCAGACAAGTAGGAAGATCTCGGAAGGTGCCAAGATATTTATTTGTCCGCCGGCTTTATTGCTTTTTGGGGGGAAGCGTCTTCGACAATGTTGTCGTTCGGATCCGTTCCTCGGCTGCCAGCCATCGCTAACAGGGCAACAGGGTAACAGGGCTACTTGTAAAGCCTAACATCATGTGTTGGTCTTCCAGCTGAGATCTACGTAAGTAGGGATTCTAAACCCGAGGCAAGTAGGGGTAAAATTATACCGTGTTACAAGATCTGTATAATCGTAGTTTGTATTAATCCCTAACTACGTACTTGATAAATGCCACTGGCCAGCCTCTCCTCTTAATCTAAACCCCCTTCTCCCTACGCCTATGATTTGGATAGGAAGATAGATAGGTACGCACGATTACGATTTACAACAGCAAGGCTTACAATGTCAACCGTCTCTCCTGCTGAGGCGCATGTCTCTACCGGTCACGATATCGAGAAAGTCCCTTTTCCGGTCCAACCTGCGACTGAGGTACCCGAAGGCTCCAAGACCGAGTCAGACAACGACTCTGCGCATGTACAAGATGGTGTCAAACGGGTCGAAGCTATCACTACCGTCTGGTCGGGCAAATCTTTATGGTCTACTTTCGCCCTGTAAGCTATTAATGTTTACACAAAACCCGTATAATTGACCTCTAACAATTATAGCCTTTGGCTTGTGTCCTTCGTGTCCGCGCTGCTCTCATCTATCGATAGTTCCCTATCTCCATATGTCACGTCCTCCTTCTCCAGGCACGGCCTACTAGCGGTCATCAACATCGCTGCCAGAGTGATTGGCGGCGTCGTCACACTTAGCCTCGGCAAACTTATCGATATTAGGGGACGTATGGAGGGTTTTGTCGGGTCATTACTTCTAATCACTGTCGGCATGATCATGAAGGCAACCTGCCAGAATGTTGAGACATATGCCGCAGCCCAGGTTTTCGCCTGGGTCGGCAGCGTAGCTCTTGGTTTTGTTATCGATGTCTTCGTGGCCGACATTACTACATTAAAGAACCGAATGTTTATCTTCGCGCTCAACTCGACTCCTAACCTTGCGACTACTTTTGCTGGCCCTCGAATTGCCGAGCTATTCTACACCGAGGTCAACTTCAGATGGGCATTCGGTGCCTTCACCATTATCTTACTCGTGGTATCTCTACCAGTGGTTGCTATCCTTTACTATCACGAACGGAAAGCAAAGAAGTTAGGCCTGCTGCGTCCGAAATCAGGTCGCACGCCGATACAATCTACTATACATTATGTCATCGAGTTTGATGGTAAGTCACATAGGGATTTAGGAAGAAATATGTTCACTATTAACTGACTGTGTCTTATACAGTTATGGGCGCAATTCTAGTTTCAGCAGGATTCACACTCATCCTCCTCCCATTTAGTCTTGTGAGCTCGGCCTCACACTCGTGGCAGAGTGCAAGCGTGATTGTCATGATTGTGATGGGAGTGGTCAGTCTCGCCACATTCGCGGTTTGGGAGAGATTTTTCGCTCGTGTCAAGTTCTTCCCTTTTGATTTTCTAAAGGACAGAACCTTCTTGGGTGCTGTACTGTCGTATTTCATGGTTTTTTTGACCACTTTGTTAGTTTCCTCTTTATTCTTGTCCGATTAACTAACTCGATCAACTCGATGCTAACGCTTAGTGCAGTATATGGGATGCTTATTACAGCTCTTACCTCCAGGTCGTCCAAGGCCTCAGTATCAGCATCGCGAATTACGTGCTCA